CAAAGTCTTTTTTTTTTTTTTTTTTTAAATTAAAACAAATCAGATGTTAGATGAATATATATATATATATATATAATGAATTAAAATCTAAAAAGAAGAGTGAAGTTTTGACAGGATAAATTGTAAAAAGTACACCATAATGCTCTTAAAAATGTTCTTTTAGATGATTAATTGAAATAAAGGACATTATATTTTGTTGAATATCTAATTTTTTAAAACTAACTTACATTTCAATAATGTAACCTATATTTACTCTTATTATATCACGTTTTAAATCCGTTTTAACAAATGATATGTGTTTCATATAACATACATATGTATACATAAGAAAAATTATTGCTTACTTTCATAGTATTATGTGACATTATTTATATGATACTTGTGACAATGAGAAATCACAACACACTAAGTTGGTCATCATTGGTTTCTTTCTTTTTTATTTATTTATTTTTTTTTTGAAGAAAGAAATTACCTTGATCTCAGCTGATGGTAGCCCTTGACGATCAACAACTTTAGGCTGGAGGCCAAAGATGAGCAAATCACTCCTACTAGATCAAAACCTAGAGAGAAGGTAGAGTTCTAGAGTGAGAGGCTCAACAATGGTGTTTTTTGGAAAAGTAGGAGAGAGAAGAGAAAGTGAAAAAGTGATTTGAAAAGTCAAAACACGGAACTTAAACCCAGTCGCCTCGCTCGAGTGTCAAACACCCCGCTCGAGTGTCACTCACAAACTCCCGCTCGAGCGCCAACAATCCCGCTCGAGCGGCGGATACACACTCCCAGAACTTTTACAGAACCAAGTCTCCGCTCGAGCTTCCAACTCCCCGCTCGAGCGGCACTCACACAACCCCGCTCGAGCGGCCAACTCCACGCTCGAGCGTCCAACACTGCACAGGAAATACTGGATGGGTGCAATTCCCGCTCGAGCGCCAAAACCCCCGCTCGAGCGGACAGGTCAAAATCTGGGCAACTAGTTTTGGTTTCTAAACTCAACCAACCTGTAACAAACCTGCCCAACACATCCTATAACTCAAATACAAAGTAAAAAGGATGTAAACAAGATAATAGTCAACTACCAACATCCACGGACACATGTCCGGATCACTGTACAACAAGGGTAAATCCGGGATCGCTATATATCTGTTCAATTTTTTTTTCTATTTGTTCAAATTTATATCTATGTGTTCAGTTTTTTCCCTATCTATTGAATTTTTTTTACCCTATTTGTTCAATTTTTTAATCTTTTCAACTCAAATTTTATTTCTATCTGTCAAATCAACTCTATTTGTTGTCAAAATAATTTTTATTTGTTTAAGTTTTATATCTATCTATTAAACCTACTCTATTTGATTCTCTATCTCTCTCCATTTGTCAAAAAGTGAATCTGTTTGTTCTTGTGCAAATACAATAGCATATACAAAACATGTAACCCATATTGGAATCATCCTTAGAATTGCCTTTATGTCTTCAACATGATTCTACACACTTCTCCTATTTTCTCTGAACCAGTTGGTGCAAACAAGGCTTTGTAAAGAAACCTACAAGAAACCAAATTACTACAATAAAGGAGGTTTGAGTACTCATTGTAGTAATCACAACTCTGTTCCAACAGCAATGACATAGGGCCTTAATAATCTGTTTATGCAAGTTCACAATGAAATTCATTCACAAATATGAAGAGATATATGGTTTATATGGGCCTATGAATGTCCTTAATTGAACCAATCCAACTTTTTTTCAAAAGAACTTTAGTGAAAAGACAAACATTTGGCGTGGAGCCATTATAGAGCATAAAAGACAAGCACATAACTTTGAAAAAAAATCCATTCATGGATTTCTACAATGCCCCATATAACAAACTGTCACAAATGAATAAATGACTCATTCATACGTCACCAAAAACACAATGTAATTTATTGTAAGTTTTTGAGTCTACATGACTAGAAATACTAAAGCTTATTCAATTTCAATTGCACATCTACATGACTTGCAATGTGGAACATAATAAATTTCAAATCATTTATCAACAAAAAGCAAACTCAAGAGGATATTTTATATTCCAAATCTCTTGATATGTTAGAAGTTTGGAAGTTTCTCTTACTTGAATTGCTGAGAACTTCAGTGACATAGGGTTCTTTGAGCTTCATGTTCAACAAGTATCACTGAAGAGCTAGTTCGCCAATTCTTTGCTGTAGTAGCAAGCACCTTAGCAATTCTAAAAAAAATGGATTTTTACCAAGAGAAAGTTGTAGTGAAAGAGATGGGAGATTGCAACCTCAACACCATCTTCAAGGGTTACAAGAAATTCAACCACAAGCATGTAATGCAGATCTATATATACACAACTGCAGACACCCCATTTTGATCGACCTTAAGACTTGGGTGTTTTTTTCTGAACACCTGATAATGAAAGTCATGATATATTTCATCCTCAACAGGAAAGCTGGATTCAAGCTTTAATCCCGACCTTACACCCATTTTGGCCAAACTACTTTAGACCTATTCTCAAAATCATTTTTTAAAATGTTTTTGTCATGTAATTCCAAACATCTTGTGATAACCACACCTTGTATATCATTTTGCATTCATTTAATTGTAGGGATTTTAATTTTTTATTGGTATGTTATTTGTATATGTTTTGTGAGTGTGGTTTATTTGTTAGGGGTTTAATTTGAATCAGTTTAATGTGTAGAGTCTAATAGGAATTCAATTCCAAAAATTAAGTGAGATTAGTATTAATTAAGATTGATTAGATTAAAATTTAATTTGTGATTAATTAGATTAATCAAATTAAGACTAATCATGATTAATCAAATTAAGACTAGTCACAACTAATTAGGAACAAGAGTAGATTATTTAAGTTAATGGGTAATTAGCAAATTAAACTAATCTTTTATATATATGACTTGGGAAGAATTGAGTTCATTACATCAACATTTGGGCTGGAGAGAAAACTCAAGGATTAGAGTAAGAAGCTCAAGTCTTTGTTGGAAATTGAGAGGTAGAGTTCAACAAATTGAAGAGGAAAATTGAGAAGAAGAAGAAGATAGGCTCAACTTCATCAAGTAGCTCAAGAATTCAAGATTTTAAGCATGAAATTGAACCTTAAATCTGTAGATAATACCTCATACACCTTGAATTGAGAAAGAAATGGAATCAATTGCATGTAATTTGAAAGAATATAAGATGAAGATGATGGATTTAAGCTAGAATTATAAATTGGAATGTTTCAAAATACGGCGTTACATAATGGTTGTGGCTGTTACGTAATGGTTGTAGCGGTAGCCACCATGCGTTACCCCCATGGTCCGGCTCACGTGAGTAAACCTACCAACGAGTAGATCCCAAAGCCAAACCAAAATCTGGAAATTAACTCACAGAGGTCGAGTCTCAAGACAGTGGTGTCAACCCTCAAGAAGAAAAGTTGAGAGACTAATGTGTGCAGCAGACAAGGGTCGACCCTAGGAACTCAGGGTGTCGACCCTATTTTTGAGTAGATAACCAGAACAAAACAGCAATGGAAGGGTCGACCTTAGGGACTCAGGGTGTCAACCCCAAAAACCAGTAGGGACACTAAGAGTATGGCAACAAGGTGGTGTCGACCCCCAGGAAGAATAGTGTCGACACCAGAATAAATTTTCCAAGTTCCCAAGGAACTTTTCAATGAAAACAAGCATGAACGAACAATCCCAATAAGTCTAAATCGAATTGTACTCCTTCAAAACCAAGATACAACAACTCCAAAGACTACCAAAATGAAAAGGTAAGGGAATTAAATACACCCTCCAAAAGCTTAAAGGATACAAGTGCTACAACCTCCTCACCTTAGGAGATTTCGCTCTTGAAATTTGAGAAATGGCAAAACCAAAAAGGCCACACAATCTATATTAAGAAAACACAATGCTAACCCAAGCTTAGATCCATTTGGGGATACGTTCCCGGATCTCGGTCACAACACCTCGAGGTCCCAAAGACACCCGAACACCAAGAATGGTAAAAAAATCTCACGGATGACTCTTCGATCCACATAACTCGTTGTGGTCTACGAGACAAGAAA